CCCCGCCCCGCCTTTCGCCCTTTCTACATCTCCAGCGCCCCGGAGCGCCGCCGGCACAACAACACGACAACTTCCACCATCAAAGTAACGGCTGGGCGCAGCGGAGGCAGCATCGTCCAGACGGTCATCTTCCCCCCATGTATCGCTACTGCTGAAAAAGAAAAAAAAAAGAGTTAAGGAAACTCGCAAAACTTTAAAGTGCTCCGTATGGTTGTGTGTGTACTTCAGTTGCGATCACCTGACTGCTGCCGGCCCCACCACCCACAGAGAAATAGATTGCGCCTTGTTCGCTCCCTGCCAGCGCCCCGCTCCGGAACCAACGCCCTCCCCGCCGCCTCCAGACCATCGGTCTCACTATGAGGAGGAGGAGGGTGGTGGAACGGTGGTAATAGGTGGGCAGAGAAAGATAAGGAGAGGGGAGAGAGAGAGGGGAGGAGAAAAAAATGATAAGAGGATGCTGAGGTAAGGTCCAGCAGGAGGGGGTGTTGGTAGTGATAAGTTTGTGCAATAGCCGTTAAACCTTGAACCCAATAAATTCAGTACAGGGTGAAACAAAGGTGGTTCTGCTCAAACATTTCATTGCATGGCTTTACTATCTCGATCGGTACGTACAACTTTGTCAATAAAAATAAAAACTAGTATAAGTATGCGACTGGCTTACAGCAGTTTTTCCTACGATGCTCAATATGAAGCTTTAATGTGCGCTATTCCCCGTCTCTCTCTCTCTCCCTCTGTGCCCCCAAATAAAAAAATAACCCAGCACACATTTCGGGAGGACGTCATAATCCCGGCGATGGTAAGTATAAAGCCCGTGTAAAACGAAAACCTTGCGCGGTGCGGGGCGGTGATGCCCGCGTGATGCGGACGTCAAAAAGTACCGTAATGAATGGTGGGCCCGCTGGTGTTGTTGTTTGGGGGGCTCATCTCTGCCTGGCGCCGCCGGCGCGTTTATTGGAAAGTATATCATAATGAAACCCGTTTGCTCGTGGCCGCACACCAGCCGCACAAACCCGCACAGCACACCAAGTTTTCTCATTAATTCCGCACCAGCCCCAGCCTCCGAGCAGCCATTGTCTCCTTCGCGGCAACATCTCGTGCGCGGCGCGCACAGCCGCACCTCACTGTGAGGCTCACATTCATCATAGCGGCAAACAGTTCATAGCGCCGCATTGGCGCGTCGCGTCGCGTGCGGGCGCGCAGTCTCCAGGGTTATTAAGCGCTCTTAGTATTTGCACGAAGTTTTAGGGCTGTTTTGCGAAAGTGTTCTCATTGCTGAAATAATACCAAAGAAACTAAGCCCTTCTGCGCCATTACGGACAATTGCACTATGTATTCATTATTGTAACTCAACCGACCTTTGCCAAAATGAAGAAAGCGCGGAGGCCCGCGGAAACCTCTTCTTGGGCAGCTCCCAGCCACAGCAATTTCTCATTATACGCCTTTCAAGAGGCGCGTACTCTACAAGGGAGGCCCCAGATTTAAGAGCACGCCGGGG